GGATGTTCACGGGGAGGAGAGTGACAAATCCTCTCGCAGACTGTTGGTTTGGAGTTGGCTGGCGGAGGCTGTCTTCGTAGGAAGCAGGTGTAACGTGTCTTCCCGTCGGATGCGGCGCTCCGGCGCGTGGATGCTCAGCGTCTCTTGTAAACACGCGTACAAATAGGATGGTGGCGGTGACGTCGGTGGCACAGGATTTTGAGAGCCTGGCATCCCTCCCCCACCGCCTTCCCCTACCCATCCCACCCCCATCACCGAAGCAGTATTTCTTCGTGGGTTTCTCCTGGTCTGTGGCTTAGCCATTAAGGACAGAGATTTGGATTTGAATCGACGCAGGGTTAAGGGGACGCAGGCCTGTGTGCTGAAAGGCACACACCCTCCGCTCTGGGGACAGCAGGAGGCCGGCCCCTTGGTTGGAATTCCCCGAAGGGCAGGTGCAGGGGCAATTAGAGGAGACCCCAGGGCGGGCAGGGCCCTTGGAGCCACGGCTCCAAGGAGCGTGTGAGGGGGGTGGGGGTCCCTGGCCAGGTAAGGCCTGCTAAGCCTCTGCAGCTGCTGGGGGGTGCCTGTGGGCTGCTTGGCCCGGTCGGTGTTAATGATGTCTTTCCATTTCTGTCTTCTGCCCAAATTCCTTCCCGGCCAGCCCCAAGGCATGGGGGAACTGGTCTGAGGATCAGGTGTTTCCCCGTCCACTTAACAGGAATGTCCATTAGTATCTGTGAACCCTGATTTCATTGCTTCTAAGTGCGTTTATGAGCTGGGAGGAGGTCTCGCCTTGTAAATGAAATGTGGTTTTGTTGTAAAAGAAAATGACAACAAACGTGTAACTGTGTGTGTGTAAATATATATTTTCCCATGTGCTTTAGGATGTCACGTTTCAGAACCCACCCCAGCCAGGTACCTGCTGTTGGAACAAGTCATCAGCTGCACTCAGTCATCTTTCCTCCGGTTGAGTCAAACGTCTCAGCCATGCGTCGACTTTATTCGGCTCATGACAGTGAGGGCAGCAGGGTTTTCCAGAGCTGCTGACTCTTGGGGGAGCTTTGCGTGAAAGCGGAAATCCTCTCCGGGGAAAGGACCTCATCTTTGCCTTCTTTATTTTTTTAAAGGCTGGAGTTTGCGGGACAAGGCAGCCAGAGGGGCTGGTTTGTAGGGTCTGGGAGTTTGAAAGGCTGGTTTGTGTATATGTGACTTTTCTCTTTCCTGGTGCTTTCTTGTCCCTGGGGGGCAGTTTGGGTGACTCTGCCTGTCACAGTGGGGGCCCGGTCCTCTGAGCCTGTGCGGGCAGTGGATCTCCATTCCACCCCCACAGGATTGAGGAAGGAGGGTTTAGGGGGGTAGGCCCTTCTCACTGTGCCCTTCTCTGAGCCTGGGCAAGTGGTTCTTTCTCCTTTTATTTCTTCTGTGAGCGATCGGCTTCTAAGAAGGGACACAGGCGCACACGCACACACATGCACCCCCACGCCCAGCTCGGTATCCGCCTGCCAGAGGAAATGAAACCACAGCCCGCCTTTGGGGGGTGTCTCCGAAGGCCTCAAGCATGAGATTCAGCAAGCTGTCTTGGTCCACCTGCTCTGACCTAAAAGTTTGACAGTTTGGGGGTTCGGAGTGACGTTGCTACCTTCCTGGGAAGTGCCTCCCGCAGCAGCCAGAGCCCAGGGCTCCGTGCCCCAGGGGGGTGGGGTGGGCAGAGGAAACCCCAATCCTTGAAGTTGGGCGAACACCCCCTGTCATCTTCAGGAGTTTTACTTTCAGCACCACACGTGGGAGGGGAAGGAGATGTTTTTGTTTCTTTTCCTCCTGGGCGCCTTTGGAGGAGGCAGAGGGCTGGATCCTGGGTCTGGGGACCTGAGTTCAGAGCTGTCTTCGGGCTGGGACTCCAGCGGGGCCTGGCTGCCCAGACTGGCTGGCTGCAAGAGGGCTGGAGGCAGAACTCAGACCTGCAGCCCAGTCAACGGCCTCGGATACTTTCAAACTCAATTACTGGGGCTCACGAGGGTTTGCAGCAGGATGAAAGTGAAAAGGCAAAGACTGCCAAATAAAGGAAGGAATACCAGATGTTACCAAAACAAAACAAAACAAAAAAAAAAAAAAGAGGAAAAGGAAAAAGTGCTGGTACAGAGTCCCTTAGGAAGAGATGGAGAGGAGAAGGGTGAATACCTGTGAACAGGCCTGCGTGACCTTTGCTCAGTTTTAAATTAGCCTGTTTCTTTTGCAAGAGAAAAGAAGTTTGAGATTATGTAGCTTAAAATCCTTAGCAGAGAGGAACTATTCAGGCTTCTCAAAATTCCCACCGGGGAGAATGGACTGACGGACTCGGCTGAAAAAGTTTAATGAAAAGCAAAACCAAGACAAGGGAAGTCAAGATGAAATTAGATGACAGAAAACATCTCCCCGTCCACAGAAAGGATGATCAGGTTGGGATTCGGATGGATGAACTATTGTCTTTGTTTATTTTTTATCAATGCCCTTATGGCTGCTGCCGAGTGCCAGGTCCACTCAGGAGGGCCCGGTACCTCCACTCTCCCTACCACAGAATTCACCCCTGTTTGATTTGAATTCTCGATTTCATTTTGTCCTTTTTTTTTTTTGCTTTTTCAGCTCATTTCCTTTATGCCTCTCTTTCTTTCTCTCTCTCTCTTTTTTTTTTAACAAAACAATATTTTGACATCCTCCTCCCATTTATTAAGAGTTCCTTCTCTAGAAATGGTGCACAATACATCCTTATATTTCTAAAGAACTGTTTTCACAGTCCTCTCCTTTGGCTCTGAAATTATGTATATGTAATTGGTAATTAAAGGTGCGAGCTTTTCAATATAAACAGTATTGCTCAATGTTAGATCATTAAAGGGAAAAGAGGCACCGAATAATTACCTTTAACATTCTGACACACCGTGAGCCGGGAACCCGGTCCCCCCTAGAAACACTGTTCGGCGTGAGGGTTGTGATTACATTTTAACCATAGCAAAGCATCTTTTCATAAAATAAATTGGTAAATTAATTATGTAGCATTGTCTTCCAACTTCTTTTTAAGTAAACTCTGATTTCTTTTTAAAGTGTAATTAATGGTTTCTGGGGCCGCCTTTGTGCACACTGTTTTCTCTTACCTTCTAGGTTCTTTCCTTTTTCTTTTTTTTTGTTAGAGGTATGCACACAAGAGATTTCGGATTTCTTCATCTGCGGGGTGTTTTGGGGCGGCCACATTTCCAGTGCATTTCTACATGTAATTCATCAAGGGCTCTGCTTTTCTAGCGGCACGGGCGGGATCTCAGACCGTCACTTCCCTTCTCCGCAACACCTGGGCGCCTACCCGCGGGTGCGTAGTTCACGCGGGTCCCACGTCCTTCGCTGCCTGCTTGGTCTTACGCACGGACTCTCACAGGCCCTGAAAAAGCGTGTGCTCAGAACACACAGAGCAGTGATTTATAATGTAGGATGGAAGATGCCACAGAATTTTTTCCTTAAATTATCTGTTCTTTGGCTCTGGCCCGTCAATAACTTCACTGCCACGGAATGTGTTTTCCTCCATTCCGTTTCTTCCCTCTCTTCTTCTGTGGTTTTCATTATCCTTTCTTAAATGCCATACAACTTAAAACGTACCTGCCTCCTCGGGTTTCAGACCTCTGGCTGCCCGCTGGCTTCTCGGAAGACCCCACCACTGGTGCTGTCTACACAGCCATTGACATTTGCTCTTGACCAATTCCACCTCAAGTTTGCTCAGACCCTGAGCGTGGATGCAACGTCACTGTCCAGTTGCCTTATTTATGACCTGTTGGTTGGCCGCGTCTCCTAGGTTTCCCTGAGGGGTTTGCTGCTTTTTGAGGCGTTTACTAGCTTCAAAATATTTGGGTCCCTTGCCCCCTACAAAACAAAAATGAAAGGAGGTAGGTAGATCGGCTGCTAAAGAAATATGAAAACGTACAGCCCATTGCTAGTGTGGTTTGCTCTCTGCCAAGAAATGCTTTTGGAGTCTGAAGAGTTATTTTTCTTTTCTTTTCTTTTTACTGGGAGTGAAATAAAAACCGACCAACAGGAAAGGGCAGTAGGGAGTTGGTGAGAGTCGGCAAAATCTACAAAGCGATGGGAGTCTGACCAGGAGCAGAGTGTTTGGCAGGGAAGCCGGCTGCCTCGTTCAGCTGACTAGCCGCGTCTCTTCCCTGCATTTTTTGTTTGTTTGTTTGTTTTTTCCCTTCGATATTTCTTTCTGAACCAATGCTCACGTGTTGCTTTCTGAGCCCGGGTCCTTTCTTTCTCTCGGAAGGACCAGCCCCGGGACTCCCGTCTGGGTTCCTGTTTTCCTGTGTGGTGTGCAGCCAAGTCTCAGGTAGAAGACTGCAGGCAGGGGCGCTCATGAATGGGGAGGACCTGAATGAAGGTGGGAGGGAAGAGGGTGTGCGACTCCCGCCCGAGCAGGGAGAAGCAGCTCTGGCTCGCTGTTCTAAGCCTTGGCTGCCCGTAGGAATCACCTGAGAGCCTTTAAAAAAAAAAAGAAGACAGCCTGAAGTCTGACTCCCAGTGTCATTGGTCTAGGGTACCGCCTGGGAGCCCGGGATTTCCAGAGCTCCCAGGTGGTTCTGAGATGTTGCAGAGTTTTCGAGAGGCCTCTCCATCACACTGCCACCAGACTGGGGATGGTCCAGCCCCCGGTGGAACCAGGATGTGTGTGGATGTGCAGGTGGTCATGTGTGTGTCCGTATGCTCAACTGAGGGGAAACTGGCAGGAAATAAACTAGAAAGCAGTAAGATCTGCACCGCTTAAGGGGCAACTTCTCAGAGCTGCAAGGGCTGCGCCCGGAGCCCCACTTTGCCCATCTGTGGCATGCAGGATGGCGAACCCCTTATCTCCAGGAGTCTGGGGGGGGGATGTGGTGAACCCTCGCATCCCGCAGCGGAGGGGCCTGCTTCTCGGTGGGGAAGGGTTGGAACTGAGCGATGAGTCTTGTGACTCCTTAAGCCCATCTTGTCTTCTCTGCCCCTCCCCTTGTGCTTTCTCCCTCCAGCAGAACCTGAGCATGTGGAGGCCGCCATCCTCGAGGAAGACGAGGGTCTGGAGATAGAGGAGCCTGGCAGCCTGGGGCTGATGGTGGGTGGCCCCGACCCTGACCTGCTCACCTGTGGACAGTGTCAGATGAACTTCCCCCTGGGAGACATCCTGGTTTTTATAGAGCACAAGAAGAAGCAGTGTGGCGGCGGCCTGGGGGCCTGCTATGACAAAGGCCTAGACAAGGGCAGCCCTCCACCCTCCTCGCGCTCTGAGCTCAGGAAAGTGTCCGAGCCGGTGGAGATCGGGATCCAGGTGACCCCCGACGAGGATGACCACCTGCTGTCACCCACGAAAGGCGTCTGCCCCAAGCAGGAGAACCTCGCAGGTATGGAACACTGCCCTTACCCGGCTGCTGCAGAAGCCCACTCACCCCTCGGGTCCCAGGCCTGCCCTCGCCCCTCGCTGTGCCGGGGACGGGGGGCAGGCTCGCCCTCTGTCTGAGGGTGTCAGTGCTGGGAGGGCCCGCGGGGCTACCAGGATGGGCTTGCCCTTGCCTAGGGGCCAGCATCCAGGTGACCCTCGGGAGGAGACAGGCCTGGGGCTCAGAGAGGCCCAGCAGGCTGAGCTTGCTTTGCTTTTGGCAATGGACTCCCGTGGTGGGGGCCTCATCCACAGCTGGCCGGGAGAGCAGGACAGACCTTGGGAAGGCTAGCTGGCCCTGACTTTGCTGGTGTCCTTGGCTTAGTCTCTGGCTTTGGAGCCCGAACGTCCCGGGTTGGAATCTCTTCTGTACAACCTGGACAAAGTCAGTTTCCCCATCTGTGAAATGGAGCGAATGAGACCTATTTGTTGGGGGTCGTTGTGAGGCTTGATGAGATGTTGCGTGTGGGCAGGGCCTGCCGGGGGCCCTCGTTTTTCTCGTCCGCTCTCTGGCTTCAGTTTTCCATCTGTCCAAAGAGGCCCCTTCTGATGTTGCCTGGTCCTTGGAGTGGGCCCGGGGAGGGGCTTGTGGGAACCTGGCTGGAGCCGGTGCTTCCTGGGGGAGGTTGGCCATCGCCTCTGGCATGCCCACCTGGTGGGCCACCTGGACAGCTGGCTTTGAAGGACGCGTCCACCTGAAGGACGTGTGCAGGGGCTGGCAGCCTCGGGCAGGCCCAGGGAGTTGGCCTCAAGTTCTGTTTGGGTCAAGGCCACAGCTTGCCAGGGCCTCCTTCAGGGAGCTCGTGCTCCATGCAGCCCAGAGCGGTGGCTTCCGGTTTGTCCTCCTGAGCTCAGGGCCCAGGTTGGCCCGTGTTTCCTAGAAGCAGCGGGACACTCTCGGAGCGCGTGCAGGGCTCGGATCCTGCCAGGAGACTTTGGACAAGCTCCTTCAGGGTCCAAGCCTCAGTTTCTCCTGGTGTCACCAGGAGGGACAGTCCTGGTGGGCCGGGTGGGTAGGTTCAAAGAGCAGGAGCTCCATCAATGCTTTGCCAGTGGAGCTTTTCTCTTGGGGGTATCTTCTGGCACCGCAGCGCGCAAGCAAGTGGCTGGCCAGATGACTGTATCCATCTCCACGGCGTCTGGGTCATGGAAGCCAGTGGAGATGCTGGGCGGACTGAGGCTTTGGGTGCTACCTGGCGGGGGGGCGGTGGTGGTGGTGGTGAACCAGGTGGAACCAGGGCACTCTGCTCTCATGGGTGGGACAGATGAGCATGGCCAGGAGACCCCACCTCCCCATCCCACCATCACCCAGGAAGCAGTTAGTCAGGGTGACGCAGCAAGTCCAGCTGCTCTGGGGCAGCCACCGGGCAGCTCTGTGACCCTGAGCCTCCCTTTGCCCATCTGTACAATGGGGTTAATGAACTCTGTCTCTGGCCTGCAGTGGAGTGCCGAGTCCTGCAGGCATGGGCTGGGCCCTGGGGAGACCCCGTCCAACCAGACGGGCCTGTGGGGCTGGCCTTCTGGCTGGTGTCCTAGCGTGAAATCTCCCACACTCTTAACTTGCCCAGGGCATTGAGAAAAGTGTCCGACGTGTTCAGGCCAAAGTCCCAGCAGCCCTGGTTTCTCAGAGCGCCTAGTAGGTCTGAGTGATCCTGCTTTCCTTAGGGCCGGAGCCCTGACGCGGAGGAAGGTGTTGGGCCCCTTCTGCCTGGGCCCTTTCTTGCTGTCTGGCGCTGAGAGCTGGTTTTTGCCAGCGGCGCAGACACGGGGCGTCAGTGAACACAGACCTTTCGGGAGTGGCTGCTGCCCACGAGAGGGGCCCCATTCATGGTTCAATGGAAAGGCTTCCTGCTTTCGCCAGGGCCCATCCAAATCCTCATTTCACAGAGAAGGTATTTTCCAATGAGAGGCTGCAGATCGTTGTGGGTAGGTTTGTTTAAGAAAGCGACTAAATATGATTTCATAAAAGGCAAAGTTAATCTCCAAGGCGGCTTTGTCTTCACCCCCCACGCCCCCTCGCCGCCCTCTGCCCCCCCTCCCTTTTTCGGGGTTGTAATACTGCAACGACCTACAGTATTTTTATTCTGTGTGTGACGAAAGATATTCTTGGCCTTTTCTGTTCAGCAACAGGACGAATGGATTTCTTCATTCTCAAAAAAATATGTAAAATAATCCCTTAGAAGTCTAAGGAGATATGTTTGTTCAAAGCATTTAAAATGTTATTTTAATCAAAGGCACGAGACAGTCTCCATGCTGTGTCAGCTAGAGACGACCATTCCGTTTTAACAGCCCATCATGATTTTTCCTTCCCGGACTCCTTTTTTTCCTTTTCCCCTCCCTACTTTGATACCAACTTTTCCCTTCTTCTCCTTCTTTTTTTTTTTTTTAAATTTAATAAAAAGGAAAGATTAAAGAATAAAAACTTCAGTAGCTCAAATGTATAAAGTCATTTAATATGGTGGGAGCATTAATTATTTTAGCTTAATTGAATTCTGAGGGCTGCAGTAGTTGCATTTTTGTAGACAAGCCCTGTTTATTATTTCTCTGTGTAGATTAACAGTAAAGGAAACACAGATAACTTTAGTTATTTATTGTAAAATAAATGTGTCAATTCATGTGTAAAGCAAGCTGCTGAAAGATAATTGAGTCTTTATATTTTAAGAGGGGGACTAGGAATTCCAGGCGCTTCTCCGCCCGGGCTTCCGGAAATCTACACAGCTGTTGCCCCAGCCCCGGGCACTGCTGGCCTTGCCCAGGCCTTTTCTGTCCCTCCTTCCTGACTGTGGCTGGGAGGGGATGCTCCAGCCTGTCCATGCTCCCCTATCATCCGTGGAGCTGGCCTTGGTCGATAGCTGGTCTGGGTGGTGCTGATTGCTAGGACTTGGCCTCTGACTTGGTGGTCTGAGGCAGGGCGCCCATGTGGCCGTGAGGGTCCTGCTTTTCCTGGAGCCCACAGTCTAAGCATGGTCCAGATGGGCAGGTTCCATCTCTTCCTACCAGGTGCTTCTAGAGGCTGGGCTCCAGAGATGGCCTGGGCAGGGTTGGTCTGTAAATATGTGGGGGGGGCCCTTCCACTGTTAGGGGCTTCCCCAGGGGTTCAGTAGTTAAAATCCACCTGCTAATGCAGGAGATGCAGGAGACATGGGTTCGATCTCTGGGTTGGAAAGATCCCTTGTAGGAGGGGGCATGGCAACCCACTCCAGTATTCTTGCCTGGAGAATCCCGCGGACAGAGGAGCTTGGCGGGCCGCGGTCCGTAGGGTCGCAAAGAGTTGGACACGAAGTGACTGAGCATGCACTTCCATGTTAAGGACAGCCCCGGGCTGAGAACCCAGCTGGAATTCTGTGAGTCGTTGCCCCAGAGTGGCACTTGTTCCTTGGGATGCCATTCTGGAGATGGGTGTAAAGAGCTCAGTTAACTACTTTTTTTTTTTTTAATGACAGAGGAGTAGGAGAGTGGAAAGAGGATGTTTCTGAAGCTTTGTCTCCTAGGGCAGCGGTCCCCAACCTTTCTGGCCTCAGGGACTGATTTCGTGGAAGACAGAGTTTTTCCACTAACCAGGGCAGGGTGGGGGGGTGGTTTGGGGATGATTCAAGCACATTACATTTCTTGTGCACTTTACTGCTATTATTGTTACATCAGCTCCACCTCAGATCATCAGGCATTAGAGCCTGGAGGCTGGGGACCCCTGTCCTATTGCATTCATTCATTCGTTCAACTAGTACCTACTGCCCTTCCCCTTCCCTGGACATCCCCACTGGAAAGAGCCCCCATGGGGCAGCAGCATGGTGGGAGGGTGGCCACGTGGGCACAGGGCCAGGGTGTGAGCTGCCCTGCCCTTGATGCATATGGTCGAATTCTGGGGTGCTGCTTTTTGAAGATGTGCTGGGCCTGGAGGAGGTCCCTCGAGCTTCTGTCCAAGGCCCACCCCCCCAAGCAGACGGAGGGCTGGTACTGGCCAGAGGTAGGGGCTTTGGCTGGAGATCTGACCCAGGGGCAGGCCTCTGATACACGCCTGTCTGTACTGGAGTTCTTCCTGTTTCTTCAGATCCCTTCCCACCGCATCCTCCCTGCCTCTGAGGAGGGTTCTGATGGAGCTCGGGGACCCATCCATTGAGGGCAGCAGGAGTAGTGAGCCCTGGGAGGGGAGGTGAGCAGGGTCCAGGCTTTGCCAAGAGCATGAGTCTCTGAGCTCTTCTCTGGGATGGGCGTCCCGAGGAGGGGTGAGGCAAGGCGGGGTTAGGGGATCTGGGTTTGCCATCCACACTGGTGAGCCCAAGTCTGCACCCCGCTCTGCTTTCTGCCGGCCACTTGCAGTGTGACGTGCCCTTCTGAGCTGCAGGGTCCTCATCTGCCTAATGATGATTGTGACATTTAGAAAGGATGTGTTCGTGGCGCGCATGCTGCCGATACGAGTGGGCCCCTCTTCCTTCAGGGATGCTCTGCTATCTCTCTCTGGCTCCATCATCTCCCGGTGTTAGAATAGTGACCATTGGTCTCCTTGGGATCTGGGAGAAATTTCCACTGGGTTCTGAGGCTGCCCGTCAGAAGCAACCTCAGGACGACAGTCATGTGTGCCGTCTGGTGTGTGGCCCCTCCTTTCCCATCTTCGGTCACATTACCATCATCTGGTGACAACGTGAGGGCAGGTTGCCCAGGAGGAGGCGTCTGGAGGGTTGAAGGAGTGAGTTGCTCTGGTGCCCGTCGGCCAGGGTGGGATTTCGAAGCCCCCCCCAGGCAAGTTGCTTCATTTTTCCGGATCCCGGCTTCCTTGTCTGCACCTACTTTTTTGACTTCATGCTCAGAATTCAGTGAGATGAGAGTTTTAAGCGCCCACTTGATACAGGGTCTGGTCTCAGGTAGACCCCTGAGCAATGGAAGCATCTGGAAAGCTTTGAAAAGAGTGTGGACCCCGCCTCTTGGTGTGAGATGCCTGCCTTTCAGAGTCAGAGTCCTGAAAACTTA